AAGACTGGGCCTGGGGCGGCGCTGTGGCGACGGCGTCTGTCCGAGGGCCGGCCGAAAGTTGCAAGCTTTCCTATTGGGTGGGATGAAAATAGCTACACTGGGAGCTTTTCGACACCGATGATGGAGGGGGGCTGGCTTTTTCCAGCAGAAGGGGAAAGAAACGTGAGGAAGAAATATTTGACGGGCGAGAGAAAGAAGGTTATGGCGGCAAGCGGGAGACCACATGGCTTTCCTTATTTTGGTGTTTGTGTGTCTCAATGGCATTGGAGAGTCGGATAAGGTGTCGCCGCCGTTGCAAAGGAAGACGGAAGCGGGATGAGAGTGAGTGGACAGTTATTCTGGCCCAGTCCAGCCCAGCCGTGGAAATTGTTTATTTCGCGTCGTTGTTTTTTGCTGGCGAATCTAAGATTTTTTACGAAGATGTTTCGAATGGCTTGACTCAAAAAATGACTCACTACTTGCGAGCAGGAGAGACATGATTTGTTACGTGACTGATGCATGGGGGATTGATGGGGGCCAGGAAGGACGGACCAAGTGGAGGAAGGAAGACATCTGTCACTTGTTTGCCATCTGAAGGTTTTGACGGGAGTCACACCTTGGTTGACGGATTTGACGGGGGATGGGTGGGGAGGATCAAGGTGGATGGGTAAGGAGGAGCGAGGAGGAGGAAGGGGGTCCCCTGTTCACTTAAGAGTTGGTCCAAACTCTGGTGAGTCCAGGAATCGTAAAGCTGAACATCCTTGCGATTTAGCCATCCATGGATGTCTTGGGCTTTTCCCCTTGGGGTTGGAGATGGGGTTTGGGTGGTGGTGTTTGGCGTCGGACAGGTTCGGCACGGCCTGCGGGCTGGCAGGCTACGGCGTTATGTGTGTGTGCGTGGGAGTTTCTTGTTCCTGAGGGCGCATGTTTCGGCTCTCGTTGGGAAGGAGAGACATTCGGCGGCGAGAGGGCGGGTGCGGGAGGAGACTAAGCGTTGCGGGCCGGCGAACTGTGAGGGTTGTGAGGGGTTGCGGTTGTGGCGATGGAGCTGACGGAGACACACAGGGCGGCGGGCGATGTATGAGGGTCAAGGGATACGATACGGGCTGGGGCCGAAGGTTCAGGTCGGTTGGAAATAGTTGGACGGGGACTGGGGGCTCGGATGGCACTCTGGAGTCACATCGGGATCACGATCTATCGATCTGGGAATGCTGTCGGGAACGATGGGGTGGATGGGAGGAGAGGGATAGCAGGATGGAGGCCGAGGGAGGGGGCACAGAATGGAGTGTCGTGGTGGTGAAATGCGACCTGATATCGAGCCGTGTGAGTGGGAACGCTGGCGATACGGAGGGGAGGAGGAGGGCCCTGAGGTGGATGGTGGATGGTGGATGGTGGATCTGGAGAAAGCAGGGAGGAGCCCGCCGGGGATCCGCCCGGGCAACGACGACAGCAACGACGACAGCAACGACGACAGCAACGACGACAGCAACGACGACAGCAACGACGACGGACGGAACCTGGATCTTGGGATAAGTTTAGCGAGCGGGATGTGCACTGCAGCTTTTTTGTGCATGGATCGTCTTCTAGTGCATTGCAGAGTGCCAATTGGGGGGCTTTGGGGTCCTCTGGGGCCTTTTTTGGGGGGCCAGAGATGTTCAGCGTAACATCGGCGGCGGCATGATGTGAGCAAGGGCAGGGCCGTCATTCAGCTGCACAGGGCATGGACAGGGAGATCTGGATGGATGCCCTGCAGAGGCAGAACTGACGACATGCCGACCTCGATATGCCAGATTGGCGTGTTTTATGGCATCTCATGTCTGCGATCACAAGCAGCCTTGTGGTTGGAATGTGATCCAAAGTAAGGTTTGTGAGGCTGGTCTGGCGAACAATTCTCGGCGCGTGTCTTGAGATGAGCTAATCTCACGTTGATATTGAACAAGGACATAACTCGGATAGCATTCATCAAGTGCTCGATCCATTTGCATCATACCATACATAAGCCTAAGGTACCTTAAGGCAGGGTAATGGATGAAGCTGGGTGTGAGCTCTGAACTCAGCTCCCTCTGGTGTGCCTGAAGGGTGCAGAGCTAAAGGGGCCGCTAACGCTTGAGCCCGTTGACGGCGTTGAGACGGTTTGGTTTTGGTTCTGACTGTTGCAGTGGCTGTTAGTGAGGGACCCGCTTACTTGGACGTTTCCATCCTCAGTGGGACGGAAAGCTACTCCTCCTCCAACCTCACACTCACTGATCCAGCCCCCAAGTAGGTGAAGGCGGTGCATCATCGCGGCTCGGCTACGCGAGTACCGGAGCCAAGGTTCGTGTAGTTCAAGGCAGAATCTGGGAAAAAGTTTGATTTTGGAAATTAAGGCACTTTACGTAAGGTGCTAGACGCGGCACACGACCCGAAGGTGCGACTTGAGGGAGCTGCTTCAGCCGAAAGAATAGCCGACGTCACTTCACTCATGTTCCATTGCTTGTATCCCTAATCTTGGTGGCCGCACACTTGTTACAGGTTCCGCAAGCAATCGCAAGCGAGCATCGCCGCATCTCTGTGTATCCCATGGCGTGAGCGGTATCTTGCGTTCCCAGTCACTAAGTGAGAGAGAAAGAGAGAAATGACAGAGCCAAAGGGAAGCCACAAGCCACAGCGTGCCTGCTCGCGATGAAAGCAGTTCGCAGCTTAGCGCACCCTTCAAGCCACCTCTTCTAGCCCCCTTCCTTCCATTATATGACAAGCCCAGTCGCATAATACCTTAGGTAAGGTAATCACCTAGGTAGGTACCTACCAAGGAGTAGTCCCATTGCGCTTTTCTGCCTCTTCCGCCTTTTCTGCGCGTCCCAATCTCGGCATATCGTGTTTCGTGGGTGGACGCTCCCATCCGGGCCGATCAACGGCAAGCCTCTCCTACCTGCGGATACCTCCACGAAGGCATGTTGGTTTCTAAATCCAAGCAGAAATACGCCATCAAAGATAACTGGCAAGTTTGTCCAGTATGACGAGCGGACGTGAGAAACAGCAAATACCCAACCAGAAGCCCCCTTCATCTGAGACGGGACACGAAGGCTGGTGTTGCCAGTTCGTCACACAGCAAGGTAGTCCCGTTCTAACAGTTCTGTCGATAAGAATGCACTTTGGGCACGTCCACCCCTGCAGCACACCAACTGGAGCGCATATCAAGGCAGTGGATCGCGCGCTGCTGCATGCTGCTAATGTTGGGTGCTGCATCGCTGGGCCGCCGGCTGCCATGCCACTGCGCTGACCTGCGCAAACATCCCTACCGCATATCCCTTGCTGGGGTCACCCAGCGGTCTGGGGCCACCCATTTCCTCCGCGGCACTTCCCCCCCGATCCCCCAACCGAGCAACCATGTCCTTGTCCGACGCACGCCAAACTGGTCGATCATCGTCTGGTTTCTTTTTTTGCTCTCTCTCGTTCGAATTTTGCCCTCTACAGCTGTCTTTTGTTCAACTCCGACGCAGCGCAATGCACCACACCGCGGCTGCCTCGTTCCGCCGCGCTGTCTGTCTGCGGAGAAGTTCTATGCCATACTGACAGCCGACGAAAGGAAGAAGAAAGCAAAAGCAACTTCTATTGCGATGATTGTCCCAGACTACTGGCCGCACGGTGATGCCCCCGGGGGCCGCCTGCCAATTGAGGAGCTTTACGGGTTCAGGTCTTCCGCCCCCGTCGCAGCTTCGGCGTTTCTTTCGTCTTCACTTCTCCGCCTCCACCTGCTCCTCGACCCCCAATATGGGAGACGGAGGAGTGGGAGTGGCCCTGTCGTTTTCAAGTGACACTGGCACGGCACACTGGTCGAGCCCGGTCTGCAAGGCGCCGCCAAAAGAAACATGAAGCTCCATTGTGGCGCTTGTCACTTTACGTTTTCCTTGGTTCGAGTTCCTTCCTCTTCGATCGTTTCCGGGGGCCAAGACGGTACACAACGCGTACAGCGCGCACTCTCCTCTTTCTCTCGCTGTCTCTCACACAGACACACTCTCTGGAAGCCAGCAGCCCGGGCTTCCAATGTCTTGGAATACCTCGTGGGCCGTCTTCTTTCCCTTCACCAACGCCTGGCCCGTGAAAGAGGAAAAAGAAAGAAAATAGCATTGTCAAATTCGCTCGAGAGGCTATCCCGACCCCAAAGTCTCAGCGCCACGAGCCCACTCTCCGCCCGAGCCCCTAGACGACGGTCTAAAACTCTTAGTGACGACGCCTTCTTCCTCCCTTGATCTGCCCTGGCCTGTTGCTGTCTCGTCTGGTCCCCTCTCTTCGCTCGACTTCTCTCTCTGGACACCCACCGCGTGTGTCTATGGACACTGCAATATGGCAGCTGTGAGTCTGTGTATGTGTGTGTTCCCCATCCCCCGTCTCTCAATCTTCTTCCTCACAGAGTCTGGCCATGGCGCAAGCCCTGAGTCCTCTGTAGCCCTCGTTCCCATCATTTTGCACGGACGCCTCCCCGCGATGGTTTGACGCTTCCACTGCCTCCGTCTGCCACCGTCTGTCTCCCCTCCCGCCTTTCCCCCCCTCTCTCTCCTCTCGCTCAGTTCCAACGGTCGCCCAGAGGGAACCCGGCCGGACCAGAACATATATCGATCCCTGCCGTCCGCCATCCTGCGCTCGAGACCCGAGGGATGGTCCTGTCTCTCGAGGTGTTGCTCGATGAACCCTGATATTTTGATCTCCCCCATCCTTCATCTTACATCCCCCTCCCCCTCTCTTTCTGCTCTTCACCTACTATTCCGGTAAACGGCAGCTTGGGACCCTGGATGCAAATCACGGTTGATCTCCCTCATCCCGGTTGCGTGATCATCATCCCATTACACTGACGGGTGTCGCCAGGCGTCCCGTACCATCATCACACATAGCTTGCTACGCCGCAGGCGAGTCGCGAAACCCATCACAACTGTACGACTGCTTCGTCAAACACTTGGACTTTCAGGTCCCGTCTACCGTGGTAACCTCGGGCATGTCATCCCAGAACAGTCAATTGCACTATTGGACCTCCCGCCAGTGACGGAATGGCCATCTCCGAGAGCATCATCCACAGGGAATCTAAGGTCATGGCTGTGACAACGAACTTGGGTCCTCCTCGGCTGGACCTCTCCCTTACCAGAGGTCGCCGGGGCACATTCAGCAGCTTCGGCAGCGACGGCGAACAAGGTTTCTCTCCGCGCCCAGCCAGATCATCAAACGACCTCTTTGCGCAAGCACTCAGCCGGATCGACACCGCGGACTCCGATTCCGAATGGGGCGCCGTCCGCGCTCGCGCCAGGGAAAACAACGACAGACAGGGCTTGGGCGACCTCATTGAATTCTTCCGGACCAACTCACCGCCACCGCAGCGCTCCGAGCAACGATCCGTCTTCGAGCACGACGAACCTCAGGACGAGGAGGAGGAGCCCGAAAGATGGAGGCTATTCAAGAAGCTGCGCCGCCCGCGCACCCGCGCCAGGTCGGAGTCGCCAGCCCGTCGGCCACGGACCGCGGGACTGCCCAACTCTGCCGTCGCGTCCAAAACGGCGAGCGGAAACTCGCATATCGCAATCTCTATTCCGTTGGAGTACTGCCACGTAGGACCGGACTCCGACTGGGCGCTCGCCATCTTCAATGCCACCCCGCCGCTCCCCCCTACTCCTGCCCGGGGCAGCGAGGATACCCTCAACGGACAGGTCAGGCCGTATGCCAGTGAGCGCACCGTGACCGTTCTCAAGACCGTCAGCGAAAAGGGATCTCTGTCGACACTCAACACCATGAATACCATGAGCACGAAGTCGCAACGTTGCAAGGGGGTCAAGGGCAACGTGTCTATCTGGCCCAAAGTCAACCCCAACCCCCTGAGCCCGCCCAGGACACCTTACTCAACGCCGCCAGGAAGCCTGCGCGGGAAACCGAGTGTTTCCAAGCCGAAGCGCGAGCGCTTGCCGTTGCCCCCACCGCAGTACGCAGAGCTCCCGGCATCACCTGTGGTGATGCCCCAGACCCCCAGCGAGAATATCGACAGAGAGTGCTGGATCTCGGAGAGCCTGTCGCAGTCTGCGAGCCCACAGCACCAAAAGCCAAAGAGCAAGTCTCCAAGGAGACCTCAGAACATCGTCCTGCCGCCTCGACGTTCGAGCATCAAGATTGTGCGGCCCAAGACAAACACCGCGAGAGACAAGCCTTCGATTGACGGCTTGATTGGCGGCAGCACAAAGCGTCAGAGTGTCGCTTTTGATGGGCCGCAGCTCAGCCCAGGGTACTCAGAAGTACCGTCTCTGAGTCCGAGCATTGCGACGACGGAATTATCTGAACCCGTCATCTCAAGAGCCCGGCCCGCAAGAGCCTACTCGACCGCGTCGGTCGTACTCCAAGATTCAGAGTCAATGACGCCAAGACAGTCATTCACCACCCGACCAGGGAGTAGTGATACCAACCAAACCACCCTGGTGAATGGTTCTATAGCCTCTCGTAATCCGTCAACGAGGACCGCCGCCTCCAGACAGAGTCGCAGGGACCGCGTCAAGTCTCTGAAGCACAGAGACATGGAGGCTCTCAGGGCCCTGAAGCAGCTGCAGCAGGAGGATGACGGCGAAATCACGCCGAGGCCACAGACAACTGAGACGGTGATTAGCAACCTCCGCCTCCCTTCTCGGGATGGCACGTTCGGAAGGAACTTCCGTGGCATGGAGACAAAGCTCTCTGCTACAAACTTGGCCAACATGGCTAAGAAGGATCAGACATCGTCAAACACCGACTCGAACGGCAAGATCTCCGACTGGCAGGCCACCCAGCAAGCAGAAACGCCAGGCTGGGAGACCGCGCAGGAGGAGCTGACGCCCGGGTGGGAAACCGCTCGCGAAGAGACACCGACGCCGGACTGGCTGAGCACAAGCCTCCTCAACGACACCATGGCCGCCGCGGATTCCGCAGCGAGCAACTTCGACAACAGCCTCTTCAGAGACAGCACTAGTAGCTCTGAACCGCCTCGCCGGTGGGGAAGCTATCACCGCGGCAGCTGGGCGAGCTCTGTGCCGCTCTTGGACCGGATAGGCAGCTTCGCGCCTTCCGATGCAGACGCCGCCCAGGTAGGCCAAGCTGTCGAGGACGGCTCTTCTCCCCCTCGCCCAGCCAGAATGTCTCGCGCCGACTCGGCAACCCTCTCCCAGGTCGACTCGGCCCGTCTGACCTCTCCGCCCCTGAGTATAGTCGACGCCGAAGTAGACCTTCCGAGATCATCCACAGAGCAATTCATCGCCGGCAGCATCGCGGCGTTTCCAAAGCCTGGCTCGGGGCCAAGGCTCAGTGCAATCATGCCTGTGGCCGAAGTCGTGCCCACAGGTCCGATGGACGAGAGGTGGTCAGCTTCAACCCTCAACTCCCCAATTACAGTAGTCGGAGTCTCACATCCCCCTTTCCCAAGCAGCCAGACCACTGTCGCGGCCCAACCTTCCACTTCGACCCAGCTCGCCCGCCCGCACACCGCGGGAAATACGAACCCAGAGCTCTTCAACACCGCCCGCGGCTCCGCAGACCTGCAACGACGACGCCAGCCAGCAGCCGACGAAGGCGACGCAGCTGAGACCGCCACCCTCCGTCCGAAGAGCCGCGCCCGCGCCGACGTCGACGAAGCACCTGTCGACCTCCTCTCCATGTCCGCCAGAGAGCTCCGCAACCACTACGCCTCCCTCCGCAGCGCACGGGTCAACGATCTAGCGCACGAGATGCTCCTGAACCAGGAACGCCTCGAGATGCGCATGCATCAGCAGGAGCAGAACCAGATGCTCTTCATCGACCGTCTGGAGCGTTGCATGCACGAACTCAGGAGTCTCCCAGGCTCCCCCTTTCTCACATCCCCACCCCTGGACTGGCCGCTCGACGACGACCACGACTTTGTCTACGAGGAGCACCGCATCAGCCGGGACGCCCGGCAAGAAATCCGCGTGCGCAGGACCGGGCGGCTGCAAAGCAGGTCGTCGCATCACCAGCATCATCAGTCCGAGTCCCAGCCGCGTCGGAGGCTTGCAGACAACCGAGACGACTTTCTGGATTTTGACGGCGCCTTCATTGACAACCACGACCGCAATCGCAGACCGCGTCGGCCGTCAACTTCACACAACGCTTCGTCCCGTCGGTCAGGGGCCCCTCGAGCCCGTCGCCACGGCGCCCCCGTCCTCCCTCCCCTCATCACCCGCGGCGGCTTGGATTCCCTGGACCCTCTCATCAGGGAGCTCCAGTTCGCCGCGCGCGTAAGCCAGGAGACAAACCGGACAGAGCGCATCCGGACGCCGCAGCCCGGTGGTCCGAACGAGTACTATTACAACATGATTTAAAGCGGGATGTTGACGATGTTTCTTATTTCCTTTTTCCTATTGATCAACGTGGACCGTGGAGGGTATACCTTTTTCCTTTTGTGTCTCGTTCTTGCTGCTTTTTTCTTTCCATTGTTTAGATCTGACGGCCGGGGGCCGCGCAAGTCTTCAACTGGGTTGGGTTCAGCGTTGATGACTTGGACGGAGGCTGCGGGAACGAGTTTCTTTTGTCAACGGGCTTTCTCGGGAGAACCAGTCTCTCTCACGCATTTGTGATGAGCAGATGTCTGGTGTGATGTGTTTTACGTATCTCATAGCATCCATCTCATGACCAACCTTCTCGGCGCCGTAGATGCGGCCGCCAACCTCTACAATTGACGAAGAATCACCAAAGACGTTGTCCTCTACACGTGCAGGAATAAAATTTCGCTGTGCTCCTGCAAAGATGCTGATCAGAAACGGCCGCTTGCTAGCTCCCGATCCGGACACTAATTTAGCCAGGGGAATTGTCGTAGATCCGATCAAGGAAAGAAGTCGTGCTAGGTGAATCTGGATGTAAGGCGCTTTCAGCCAACCAATGACGTCGTTGCGGACCGCATCTGAAATGCCCCAATATTTCGCAAGTCATGATGTCTTTGACTTGGTTCGCCTGAAACTCAATTAGAGAAAAAAGAACAAATTCCTGTCTTAGCAGACAGGACGAACCACATGCCTGATGTTCGGCAAGAATTTACACAATACATGTTTTGGAAGCTCAGACGGCTGGCTTCCCAATAAACCGCGACACCGTGACACGAGACCATCTCAAGCCCCGAACAAGAGACGAACTGCCCCCAAACGATAAGAAAACCAAAAAGAAAGAAGAACAGAAATAATGTCCAGTCCCTGGATCTTCGTCTCCCCCTCCTCCAGGGGCATAGGCCGCCACCTGACCCGGCACCTCCTCCTCACGACGCGCGCCCCGATCCTCGCGACCTGCCGCGCCGCCGACACCACGGCGACCAAGCACCACATCCTCGACGCCCTCCCCGGCGCCGAGGACCTCGCCCCGCGCCTCAAGGTCGTCCGCCTCGACGTGACCGACGAGCCCACCATCGCCGCCGCGGCGGAGGAGGCGAAGACCCTGTTCCCGCCGGCGACGCACCACCTGCGCCTCGCGCTCGCGACGCCGGGCATCCTGCACCCGGAGAAGGCGCCCGCGCAGATCGAGTACGACGCCGCGCTGGAGACGTTCAAGGTCAATACGCTGGGCCAGATGATGCTCATGAAGCACTTTTCGGGGTTCCTCCCGCGCAAGGCCGCGTCGCTGGGGGCAGAGGAGGAAGAAGAGGGGCTGCCGCCGGGGAGGGCCGTGTGGGCGGCCATGTCGGCGCGGGTGGGCAGCACGTCGGACAACCGCAAGGGCGGGTGGTACAGCTACCGCGCGTCCAAGGCGGGCGTGACGAGCCTGGCCAAGAGTTTGGATTTGTGGCTGGGCGCGCGGAGCGGCGAGAAGGCGATGGCGGTGGCGTATCATCCCGGCACCGTGAAGACGGGGTTGAGCAAGGCGTTCTGGGACGGGGTGCCCGAGGGGAAGTTGTTTGAGCCCGAGTATGCCGTCGAGAGGATGTGCAGTGTGCTCACGAAGGAGGTCGGGTTGGAGGGACGAGGCAGGTGTTGGGACTGGCAGGGGAAGGAGATTCTGCCATGATGGAGACTGAGATACCCCCCGAAAGAGGCAGACAAGGGCTGTGGTCATGATAATAAAAGTGATAATTCTGAAACTTCGTAAAATTTCGTCCAACTTACTCTATAAATGTCGTGAAGAAAAGGCTACTAGTTGTACATGAACCCGAGACTTCTCCTCTGATAACTCCTTGCTGAGAAAGGACCGCAATCATTCTGGCTCCTTTTTAGCTAGCTCCTCGATCTCTTCTCGTCTTCACAAGGCAACATTTTCGAAAGATGCTCCGTCAGGGGATGCGCCTGGCTTCCCGGTCGGATTGTCCTCGTCACCTTTGCCCTTCTCGCTGCTCTCGTCATCTTCCTCCTTCGGCCGGTGCGCAAGGTTCTGCTCCTCCTTTTCTTCGAACCGCACCTTTTGCTCTTCCTGGTCGGCGATCCTCTTCTGCTCCGCTTCTTTCTCTTCGTCACCGGCCGTTTGCTGCTCCTCCTCCGCCTTGGGCGCAGGTGGCTTCTCCTCGGGAGACTTGGCGGACGAGGCATCGCCGTTCTCAGGCGAGGTGCCTGGAGGAGGTGAAGGTAGTTCCTTCTGTGTCTGCGGGCTCTGCTGCTGAGGCTGAGGCGGCGTGGGGGCCTGCTGGAGCTCGTCACCGGAGGGAACCGGCCTCAGAGCGTCGAGGTAGAACTTGGTGACACCAAGAATGCGGCCGTTCTTCTCGCAAGCCTCGACCCACTCAGGTCGCACGACGGGGATGTTTGTCTCGACGGCCTTCTCCCAGGCGAGGCCGCGACCTTCAGTAGTGACAAAATGCGTGGTGTCGATGCGGACGCTGTCGACAATCTTGGCACCAATGCGGTCGACGGCGGCGGCCAGCGCCTCTTTAGTGGCGGCGGGCATGATGCCCGTGGTGATGGTGATGCCGCTGAGGTCCGTCATCTTGTGGGTGCGCACAACAACCTTGTCGGAGCTGAAGGTGCCGGCGGTGGTTCGCAGAACGAGGTGGAAAGTATAATCGGTATCGACCGCCAGACCACTGATCTTGGTGCTGTGCATCTGCAAGGGGCGAGGGATGTTGCCGGCCTTTTGGCCGTTGCGGTACAGTGAGAGGGAAATGAGGTCGGCGGTGGCTAGCTCGATAGGGTCCCATTCGAGGACGACAGACGTCTGCGTGGCATTGCGGCAGCGGAGGACGGGTGTGGTGGGCGCTGAGGCGCCGAAGGCTGAGTAAATGCGGTCCTGAAGCTCGCGGAAGGCATTCTCGGTCTTGCCCTCAGAGTTGAGGTTGCGGGAGACGGTAATGTCGACAATGCTGCCGGAGGAAATGTTGGGAGGGAGAAGGATGGAGGGAAACTCGATCTGGAAAGAGTGAGAGTCAGCAACGAGACATCAAGGGGTAAGCTTCGTAGTAGACGCCGGCGACGTAAATGCTCTCAGGAGCTTCAAGGTGCCTGCCTCCAGAAGGGCATGTATCCGGACAGACTTACCAAGCGCTTATCAGGCGTCAGGAGAACCGTGACGCCAGCGTCGACCTTGCCGACGGTCAGGGAGACAAGCATCGTGGTTGTGCTTGCTGGTGTTGAGGGGGCTGGCCCAATGTCCCTTGAAACGATACGTAATTGGTCTGCAGTCGTGACAGGCCGAATCAATTGCGCGGGTCGGTTGGTGAAAACTGTTGTCGCCTGTCAATGCCCGGTTTCCGAGGTACAGTTTGACTCGCGATAACTTCGTCGAAGGCAGGCGGCGACGGTTTGGATTTGCTGTGTAGCGTGTTTGTAGAGGCCGAGACACATATGCTGGGTCAGAGATGCAACGTCCTCTCACTTAATTAACCAGGTTGGCAGCTCCAGAACGTCTCGGCTGGCAGCTCTGCGCTAGCGATGTGATTCGTCCTCAAGTGCTGCTGTGTCCTGGCCTGGGCAAGCAGGAAACAAGCACAGGTGCATGGGTACGTACCCTGCCTGCCCTGTGCTTCACCCTGTGAACTTCAGAAAGAGCTTTGCCAGCTTAACGTGTACTGAAGTGCTTGTTCATTAGAGTCGATGCATGTGGCCTGCTGTGGGCGTCACGTTGGTTAGCTTTAGTGACAGTGTTTGCTAAATTTGATGCTGTAGCTCCAAGGACTCTGGCAATGACCAGCCGATTATCGTCATGAAGAGTCTTTGTTCGCAAGTTGAACGGTTCTATTTTGGGGTATCAATGATGTTTGATGGTCAATAGCAGAGTTTGGCATCTAGTTGCGCAAGACTAGCAGCAACTTCCTCGCAAAATTCTAGTTCTGCAGAGGAAGCCTTTCCTCTTTCTGCTTATCCAGTTGTTGTGTCAAGGCCCGGCTTTGGCCAGTTTTGTGATCTTCGATCTTGCTCGCCATGATGCGCGAATAGGCTCTATAGTAGCGAGCCTCGGCTAACTTCAGGTGCGTTTCTAGTCCTCTTTTGAACTGCTCATCGCTTCAAGGTCCTTGCAGCCTTCTTTGGCAATATGCGTGCCTTTGATGCCGAGCTTTCTTGCTCCTGCGTCACATTGCTTAAAGGTTGACCGCTCTTGGAGTCAGTGCCCTGCGTCAGCATGTCTTCCTTCTTCAGACAAGGTTGATACGGGAGCCCTCGTAAGCTTGGAGGCGGGAGTTGCATCTCCCTTCTTGACGCTCGCCGCGATGTTGTGGCAGAAGGTGGCGGCCTCTCATGGGGCCATACTCCTTGAGTCTGCTTTATGAAGAAGTCCACACAATAATCAACAACCTCTTGTATCTCCTTCATCGTCAACTTGGCCTTGATCTCCTGTGGTTGCTGTGCCTTCAAGAGTATCGACCCGCGCAGATTACCTGAACCCTTCTTGCGCTGCCCGTCCATCTCTTCGGCCGCAAGTCTCCGTCCGTATATGTCATACCCTCTGGCGAACAGAGACGTCCTCAGAGCCTTCATCAGCCTGGCACGCGCCGTAATGACGAGCCCAGCACGTCCAAATTTGTAAACACCATCGTATTGTGGCCATAGCGGCCGATCCCTCTTCATCTTCTCATACTGATACTCCAGCACCGCGACGTTCGCAGTGGGGTGTCGAGAGTTTTGGAACTTGAACATGTCGAAACGTTCGACAACGTGCTCCAGCGAGTATCTGCAAAGGATGTATTTCTGCGCATCGATGTTTTTGCTGTGATCTCGGGGCACTTCCTTCCAAATTCCTCTTTGGAATGGTGATCGCATGTTGAGGCGCCTAAATATGGAAATGGTATGTTGCTCGAGAGGCGCATTCTCGTCATACGGCTTGCTTGGGACGGGGAGAACCGGCTTTCTTGGGGAGGAGCTATAGCATTGGACCACCGGTACGAAACTGGCTCGGAGCGCTGTCGAGGTCGACGGCAGCCGCCAAAGGCCGCGGGTCACAAACTGCCGTCTCGCCGGGTTCATCGCAGAAGTTCGGGTGTCGGTTGGCAAAGAGTCATGCCTGGCGGCGACAGTTGACTGTTGTCGAGGTTGGTCTAGCTCAGAGTCATGACCGAGTCATCGGTTCGGCTCTCTCGGGGAACGGGTTCCTGGAGGAAAACGATGTCATAAAGGTAGGCTGTCTCCAGCTGGAGAGTTTGACGAGATCTTGCTTCACAACCGTCTCCAAATTATTTAGAGATTAGATAAGCCGTGAGTACCCAGACCGTCCAGGTTGCAGGGTGGGCTATGCAGTGTCACACATTTGGCCTGTGGCTCGCACATTTCCACTGTACCTGTGCTGTGGTGCCTTAGGTAATGCAATGCTTGAGCCGAGCCACAGCACTTTGCCAACCGCTAACCTCAGTTTGTTGGTGATGACACCTAACTGCAGCCCCCTAAAGCAGTGTCCCCACTTGAGTCATACCGTCTACATCATTCGCCCCTCCAGTAGCCCCAGAACCAGTGGTTCCAGCAAGCGCCATCCCATTCCTCCCCCATTGCCGCAGTACCCAGTAAATCACTGCCCTGCGTAAGGCGAGGCACACACTGACTGGGTATCGGAGAAAGCAGCAGCCCAAAGCCCATATTTCGCGCGAGCGCACAATAAAGCCCGCCCATCAACATCATCGCCCACTTGATTCCCTCCCCTTTCCACTCCTCGACAACACTTCCACTCTCCCACCCCCCTCCCCCATCGAACCTCAGAACCGGTATTCTCGAGAGTCAAAATGCCCAAGAATAAGGGAAAGGTCAGTTCATCCATCTGCGTATGATTGTTGTGGTTGTGGTTTGGCAAAACAGAAGGGCGAAAAAAAAAACCACCCCTCCCCTGCTTAGCCGGACCCGCCATCAACCCCGCCCCCTCCATGCTATTCGAGGCAACGCACACCGACCATGGTGATGCTGTTGATGGTGTTGAGGATCATGGAGTCGCTCCTGAATACAGACTAACAACCACACAGGGAGGAAAGAACCGCAGACGTGGCAAGAACGAGTCCGACCACGAGAAGCGTGAGCTCACCTTCAAGGAAGATGGCCAAGGTCAGTGCAACACAACCTCCTTTGTTTCGGCTGCACGAAACAAGAAATTTCCATAATTTCCCATCACCCAACACGCGTTGGCACCACCACCACCACCACCCTCTCCGTCCTTGTATACGAAACAACGTCATGATTATTCCACTAACTCCCTTTCAGAGTACGCTCAGGTCGTAAAGATGCTCGGCAACGGCCGTCTCGAGGCCCAGTGCTTCGACGGCGTCAAGCGTCTCGCCAACATTCGTGGCAAGCTCCGCAAGAAGGTCTGGATCAACCAGGGCGACATCATCCTCCTCTCCCTGCGTGAGTACCAGGACGACAAGGGCGACGTCATCCTCAAGTACACCGCCGACGAGGCCCGTTCCCTTAAGGCCTACGGCGAGCTGCCCGAGTCCGCCAAGATCAACGAGACCGACACCTACGGTGCCGACGGCGACGGTGACTGCAACTTCGAGTTCGACGACGACCGCGACTCCGAGGAGAGCGGCGACGAGGCCGGCGGCGATGGCAAGAAGGAGGTCGACATTGACGACATTTAAACAAAAAACCCTTCCCACGCGTCATGCTCGTGTGTTTTTGTGGAGCCCCCGAAACCTCCTCCCCCGGCCGGCCTTCTGCTGCAAGACCGGGAGGGTGGGGATGCTGTCTTCTCTCTCAAATCCAGTGGTCTTCGCTACGTCGGCTACTGGATTCCGCGACAGTTAAGGTGTCTAGGGCGGTGCGTTGGACGGCCATGGTGGGAGAGACGTCATGGCTCGTCAGATCAGATCTCGGGGACGATAGAACTATTTCCTTGCGCTTGATTAATTGAATTATTTTGGCGTGTGGTCTCCGGGCCGCCCCTAAAGTCCACCTTATATCACGCTGAAATTTCATTCTCACATGCATCAAGTCGCCGTTTTGGAAAGTTACTGATGTTTTGATTCCAATCTCTTTTACGTATGACTAATGCGCTTGGGAGCAAGCTCATTCACTTCCATGACAACCCGCTGATTGCTGTGCCGGACGCTATAATCGTCGGCTTCCACATCATATTCCACTTTTCCTGCTCGGTGAAGCGCCCTTCAGTATGCTCCAAAAGACGCCAATAGCAGTGATCCACCCCATCCTAAGTATGCAGCTATCATTTGGGATAGCAAGAACTGAATGCTAAATATCCGTGCTTGTTTGAAGAAGACGCATGCGTGGCACCATAACCTGGACGGCGTGCCTCTATTTCCATGATGAACTACTAACGGCTTACCAGTCGTCGTTGTCACTTTCGTCATCTAACGGCAAATTAGCTTGGATTCCGTAGACCAAATAGATAGATGTCAACTTACCACTTCTGCTGACCTTCTCCTTTCTCTTCTGCAACGCGGCGGCAAGGGCGTTGGCCATGTCACCACCGCCACCAGGGGCAACACCAGCAGGGGGCAAACCGCTTCCGTGCGGCCCAGTATCATTGCTGCCACCAACTGAAGCACCACTTCGGTCGCGAATCTGACTTCTGTCCACCTTCTTCAGTGCCTTGATACCACCAGCCTTCTGGATATCGGCCAGCATGCCGGAGCGACCGGCATCCGGCGCGGGAGCGGGAACGCCAGAGGAGTACCCAGAGTCTCGGTTCGGCATGGGAGGAGCCGGGGGTCCACCCAAGGCAGCTGGCGGCGGTGGGGGAGGAGGAGGGGGCGCACCGGCCCCGGGAGGAGGTGGAGGCGGTGCGGGGGGAGCGTTGCTTGATGGCAAAGGAGGTGGTGGGGGAGCGTTCGACGAGGGCAACGGCGGCGGAGGTGGCGCGTTGGATGTTGGCAAAGGCGGTGGTGAGGTAGGTAGAGGGGGCGGAGGAGGCGCGCTCGAGGAGGGTAACGGCGGCGGCGGAGGAGCCTGCGATGCTGGCAGAGGCGGTGGGGGTGGAGGGCCTCCAGCTGCTGGTGCAGGTGGTACCGGCCGTGAAGAAGGTGGTGGTAGGGGAGGGGCCTCGTTCGCCGGGGCTTTCGGGGGGAGGGCCGGCGGCGGGCCAGCATCTGCTCTCGGAGGGGGAGGTGGTGGAACCGGACCGCGGCTTGGAGTTGGCGGCGGTCGTGAGCCTGGAAACGCGGGAGGCACTCCGAACCTGTGACTCGCGGGTCTCTCTTCTTCTTGCATAGGTGTCTTTGGCGGGCGTGGAGGCGGAGGCGGTCCATTTGCCGGCCCGCGAATGGCACTGACAGAGCCTCCGAGAGCATGCGCAAGCTTGCCGGCGTCTGGCAAGGGTGGAGGCACGGCGAAGCGGTTTTTGGGCGGCTCGGGCGCAGAAGGCTCGCTTGGAGGGGTTGGTTCTCTGTGAACGGCCGGTGGTTCGGTCTTGCCAGACCTCCGTGCTGGCGGAGGAGCGGGGGCATTGCCGCGTCGTGGAGCCGGAGGCGGCGGTGGTACACGTGGGCCGTCTGCTGGAGGGGGCGGTGGCGGAGGAAGCCTATTTCTTGGTTCAATGCCATTGGAATGGGATCCTGTTGGTGGCGGAGGAGGGGGAGGAGGAACGTGGCTTCTTGCTCCAGCCATCAGCTTCTCCTGCTCCTCCTTCAAGAAGTCGACGATGAACTCCTGGTTCTCCTTAATGAACTCATCGGTCAAGCCCTTGTCTCGCAGATCCTGTCCAAAGTTCTCGCGCCAATTCGAGTCGAACGCATCGAGAACTGCGAATTCGGAGGACTTGTGACCGTTGGGTCCCCCGAGCGATGGCATTCGGCCATGTGCTCGCGGCGAATCGGGGGGTGTGGGAGCTGAAGCATGGCGGCTACCGAAAAGTCCTCCGAGCAGACCATGTTTGTGAGGATGAGATTGTGCAGCTCCTCCGAATGGAGTTGCCCTTGTGCCTCTGCTCGCATTCTTTTCCCTGTCATCCATCTTCTTCTTGAATTGTTTTGCCTCCTTCTCGTCCATGAATGACAGGCCCGCGAGACATTCTTCGATTTCGAAACTGTGAAAGTAGGTGCGGTCTTGATTGTAGCTCCACGATTCGAATATCTCCTGATCCCAGATGACGCCTCGGTTTGCGGACTAGACGCATGTCAGCCAAGGGATGCAACAGCACGTAGAGAGGGGCGGAGTACTTACAGAGATGTCAACCATCTTGAGCCAATAGGTGTTGCCTACCAGGTCGTTTGACAAAACGATGGCGCCCTGGATGCCCGTGTATGTCCATTTCGCAGGATTGGGATAGGCCACATATAACCTGGCAACGGCGACGGCTTGGATCTTGTTTGTCTGCTTGGGAACGAAGCGCTTGACAGTCTCCTTGTCGTCATCGCTCAAGATCGACGGCATGATGGCGGGGAGTGGTCAGCGAAGGAGAGGCGGTCGAGGGAGGTTGGGTGGTGGAGAGGTCGAGGTTCGTATGTAGTCGATTCAAGGTGGAATTGGGACGAGGTGGAGTTGATGCAGAGGGTCGTGTGCTTGCAGCAGCCGCGGCACCAAAGGCAGCAGTGGCACTCCCAGAATAACAGCAGTCTGCGTCGTACGCGTGTATGTCAGGTAAGAGCAAGTGGCGCTTAGTCGATGGTGTCTGGGCAGACACCTCCTCTTTCGGGATGGCGGTTCGTCAGGTCGGTCGCTTTCAGCAGTGAACTTGGCAAGGTTCCCGAGGCGAGTTGAAGGGCGACGTCGCTTGTGGTGTTTGGAAGTTGAGGTACAGCGAGAAGGCTGCTATGCTGCCGCAGAACAAACAGCAGGGTCAGGTACAGTGCCAGTACTGGGCTGGCGTTTAGATTGGTGCAAACGTGAGGCAGCCGCTCTGCGCCCAAAAGAAAGCTGCGTCCAATGCGAGAGTGATAAGCTTGTGCTCAAAGATGCCAGAGCTTCCGGGTCCGGGGGCGTTTCATGAAATGTGGGCTCGCATCACTCAACGAGGGAACCCTGAGGATATCATAAAAATGCCGTCCCAAGAAGGCTGAGAGGAGAGAAGGTTGTGCCGCGCGAGGGTGAGGTCCTGGTCGTTGTGGTGTGTGCGATGGAAATAAACGTTACTCGGACCTGATTGAACGAGAAGAATGGTGGACAGGCGATTTGGCATGGAGGGAACGGTACGACTGTAGCGGAGCACTGGAGACCACGAATGGGACTGGGCCGGACGGGACTCGTAACCGGCTGCCCTGGGCCACCGCAGGTGGCTGAGTCGTTCGTTTCAGTAGCAGCCGGGCTGGGATGTTTCCTGAGTTTCCCTCACCAAAGGTCTCTCTCTGTGTCTCTCTCTCGGGCGCAGCTCGGGCGTCAGCTCAGGCCCCAGCTTTGCAGCGCTGAGGTGCGCATGCCAGCGCAGTCAGTGAGCCTGAAGGGGGCAGGCAGTGGTCCCTCGATACGCCGTACCAGCCACACCTTGCGCGTACGCACCGCCACGTGGAAGTGAGAGGAAGATTGTCGTCATTGTGGGACGTGGAACCTGCAGCGTTGCATCTGTTGGTCTCCAAAGTGCCGCATTGGTCGACTGATCAGTGATTGATTGACCGATCCTTTCTTCCATCTCGATAGAAGACTGTGCCGTGTAGCCATACTCAAGATTGCTACTACAAACAGACAGCGCAGAGAGGCGCTTCAACCATGTCACAACGTGCGCAAATTTAATTATCCGAGATCGTTACGCCTTGTGAGCGGTCTCAAGTTATGTGGGAATCGATTCATGAATTCATTTGGAGCATTACGACGCTATCCGCCGCCCAATGCCGAAGGCTCCGTACCCATCCCGGGTGCCGCCTCCGTGACCCATATTCTACAATGTCATTTGTGATCATACATCATGAAGAGTCAAACGCTGACATCTTCTCTATTTGTTGAGAGCCTCAGCCTTGGCTCTGCGCTCCTCCTTGGTGCCTTCCTCCTGGGCGTTGAAGTCCTTGGGCACGGCGGGGCCGGGGTGCGCCTGGTGGGCAGCGAACTTGGGGTCGACACCACCCTCCTTGATGGGCTGGACGCTGAACTCCTTCTCCTTCTCGGAGTCCTGTTCGGAGGTCAGTCTGATACTAGATTCTATTTTAGGGGTTAAGAGTTCGCTTACCTTGCCCTTGGTGATGTTGTTAACGAGTTCCTTAACCTTGTCGGCCATTGTGAATGATTATTGGTTGGGTTGTTTGTTTGGTTTGAGGTTTGGTTTTGAAAGGTAATGGTGTCTTGTCTGGGCAGGAGCAGGGTAAGAACGAGCGGGACAAAGGGCTGTTTATAAAGTATCTCGTCGGAGGCTTACATGTGAGTTGAGGCGTGCCTGCGGTACGTGGAGGGTTGCGACGGCTGATGACGTCGTTCTGCTAACTGAGGGGAAAGCGAAAGTGACTGGATGACCCCAAACATCCTATCCCCGCTTACCTGGAAGGCCTCCCAATTTGCAAGTAGTGACTACGTGCTAAACCGTGCTTCAGATGGCATCAGCTGTTTACATCTGTATTGTCCGTCCGTAGCCGCCCTATCCACATGGAAGTAGAGAGATGGAGATGCTTGCCAAAAGAGTCCTGCGCGTCACCGGCGACTTACGTGCATATCACGCGGCCACTAACGTGTAAGAGGATGAGCCAGAAACCTGACAGATGGT